GTCTGAAATATGTACACCTATCTTAAATGTTCTCTTATTGCATGCGTGAGAATCTTTAGCTTTCAGGTACATACAAAGCTCTCTCCTCAAAACATTTCAGCTGGTTTTGAATGATCTGTGATACTTTCCTTTATTTATTTATTTATTTATTTATTTATTTATTTATTTATTTTTTATTGAATTTTTGTGTATTTCATACAGAACAGCTCAAACAATCTTAATCATCTTTATACCTCTGTCCCCACTGGCACCCTTCCATAATCCCCCCCCCCCAGAGCCCATATACTCAGTCATACCTGTTAAGGTCCACTGGGTTGTCAGTGTCCCCAGCTGTTCCCGAGTACAAGTCCGTCCACTAAGTCTAGTCATATATCCCAGTCACCACTCATTAAAGAAGCTCATTTTGCACCATTTAGAGACTATTGCCAAGTACCACAACTGGTCACACATGGACATTGTCTATGAATTGCCCAGGCCAAAGTGACACATCTACAATGCAACCTCTACACCTGAGGCTCATGGAACATAGAACAGGATAAAGAAGGGGACACTAATGAATCTCTCAGTTCTCAATGATGAAGCTCCCTCATGCAGCGGGGGGCCAGAACACAAAAGTTCACAAATAGCTGAAGTGAAGAGATCAAGCATCTGCTGAATACTTTCCTTTTAAATTGCAGTCAGGACTTGGTACACTTGCAAATGAACAAGTCATATTCTCCATGTGGTTTATAAGTTATACAAGCCCAGAAAGAGATGTATACATAAATACTCAGTAAATTTAAGTTCATTTGGAATCTAAAGCAAGTACTTTTTCAGCCTTAAAGTACTTTCTTACAGATTTCCATCTTTACATTTTTAAGGTGATACATGCAGGCTTTATCTTTTCCTATACTGTACTATGGAACTATAGATTTAGTGCACATTCATTAAGACTTCTTCCACATTCATTGAGGCGTCTCCCACATTCATTCAGGCTTCTCCCACATTCATTCATTGAGGCTTCCCCCACATTCATTGAGGCTTCTGTGACTTCATTGAGATTCTCCCAGATTCATTAAGATTTCTCCCACATTCGATGAGGCTTCTCCTACATTCATTGTGGTTTCTCCCACCTTCACTGAGATTCTCTCGCATTTATTGAAGCTTCTCTCACATTCACTGAGGCTTCCCCTACATTCACTGAGATTGTCTCACGTTCATTGAGGCTTCTCCCACATTCACTAAGATTCTCTCACATTCATTAAGGCTTCTCCCACATTCATTGAGATTTCCCATTCCTGTGGCTTTGCTTTATCTGTTCCCTTTTTGTAGATGCCCTTTCCTACTATGCCAGAATCCACCCTTCTAAGTTAGACAGCATTGAGACAAATGAAAGAGTGCTGGGTTCATGGTAAAGTGGGAAAAATTGAACTATGCATTTACCTGTGTTTAAAATCTAAGTTCTTTCAACTTCTAATTTCAAATTTTCTGGTTAGTTAACTCTCTAACATCTCCACACCTCAATTTCCCTATGTGTGAAATGGGGGTGTTTATATTTTCTTTAGATTGGGATGTGAGTCAATTGGGATTTGAATTGGGATTTGTTTTTAAAGATCAAAATTATCAAGTCTCATATTCTTTCTCACCAAATGTCATTGTCTCCTCAAAAATTTCCCTGAATCCCACCCTGCACCATAGCTAATGATAATCTCATTTTCCTTTACGTTCCCACAGCACTTCACCTGTCCCTCAAGGAGTCAACTGATTATTTTCTGCACTGTGTTATTTACTCCTTTGCATATTCATTGAATGCCTACTGTGTGTCAGGCCTATGTTAAGACATTTTCTATTTGTTTTGTCTCTAACTAATCATTAGGTTTTTCAAACTTAGAATCTTTACAATATTCATATTGCATTTCCATTGTACAGATAGTGTCTGCACAAGAATGTACATGCTGATATTTGGCAAAGCTCAGCAGTATACAATGCAGGCAATATCTCTAAATCTTTGCATATGTCCACATCCTCAGATAGGACTGGGTGTTGGAGGTGCTTATATGCCAGCACAAAGTATCATTTCATTCTTATCACTGAGTTGTGATAGCAATAAAGTAGGAGCCAGCACTCCTGAGGTTGTGCATAAAGGAGAATATTTCTCCATTCCTACATAAGTCCTGGGAGTGGTTCCTTGGAGAGCAAAACATGGTTTTCAAAATGAGAAGGTGAATGAACAAATGAGCTGTAACCATACTTCTGGAATTACGTTAGCACAAATCTAAGCAGGCTTTCAAAGAACTACGGTTTGTAAATACTCTTGTGAATGCAATATCATGGCTAGATGAAATTCTAAGGTTTCAGGGGAAGTTACAAAATTTCAAATGAGGCTGTGTGTATACAACACCAAGCATCCAAATGAACCCTTGAGCAAATCACTCAGGAATGTGGGCTCCGCTAGCCCAGACATTTCAAGCCGTCACTGGAAATATGTAATGGGATTCTCATAGTGTTTTACTACTTGTGGATAAACTGCACTGTAGTGGAGTCCCACTTTAACTGGCAGCTACTAATCAATCACAAGCTAAGAAATTAGGAAGCCAGCTAAATGTGCTTAAAGCAAGAAAGACTAGATCTGATTTGAGGTCAACAAGAGTGTCTTATGAGAAGAAGTAAATATAAACAATTATGTTTATGGCCTTTATGATATATTGGCCTTTCTCTAAATGGAGGCCTAAAAGAAAACAAGGATATGAATTCTCCCTGTGCCAAGCTTTTTTGGTTATAGTACCCCCCCATCACTGAGGATATTTTAAGTTTAAAAACAAATTTAATTTAAAATTCTGTTTATATGTGTGTGTTTGTACATGTATGTATAGTGCCTGTGGAGGCCCAAAGAAGACACTGGAACTCAGGGGAGCTGGAGTTACAGAAAGTCATGAGCTGCATTACATGGATGCTGAAAACTAAACTTATGGCCTGTGAAGAGCACTGTGTACTCTTAACTGCTGAGCCATTTCTCCATCCCCTGGCAATTTTTTTTTTTGAAAAAAGAAAATGTAAGAATTGGTTCAGGCTCTCAGAAGTTCACCTGTGGAAGTGTCCCACTTGCTACAGACCATCCAATCAGAAATAGACTCATGAGAATACCTGAACTTAATACAGGGCTTAAGCCTTTGACTCTGGACCTCTTCCATGGCCACCACTCACAGGTATCTAAGGCATAGATAGTGGCTGGCTCTTTGGTACCCACAAGATGAGGCACCAGGAAAGGGGATCCCAGAACAGGTCCTCAGTGGGGAGCGATGGAGGCTGGAAATGCAGATGTGTGACCCATCCCAGGCCAGCGCTGACCAGGAGCCTGCATTTGTTTTATGTTCTTTATCATTCTTGAGCCAATGATTGATGGTAATGAATTTCTGGTGCATCCATGGCCTGATCTCTGTGGTGCCCCACCCTGCCTTCCTTTTTCCTTCTGGAACCATTCAGAAAAGGGTATGTGAGTGGGCGTGGGAGGCTTATTGCCCAAATGCTCCAGTGGAAGAATGTGGGAGAGCCAGATGTGAGAGGGACCTCCCCTGAGTGCAGAATAGGCAACAGGAGCCCTGGCACATATTGGGGAGGGATGGCTTTCTGACTAAACTCTGGATTTGTAGCATTGTGCTATCCCACATCCAAGTCAAAATGCCTGTCCAGATTAAACGTCAAAACTGGCCTGTTATCATCTCAGAGTTTTACTGAGTATCTTTGAAGAAGAAAGAATCCTTTAGGGGGCTAATTGATCCCAGGCCTGAGACTTGGACATGGATTTCTATGACCACTTCAGAAGAAAAATTCCAATATTTTAAATCCAGGTATCACATAATGTTTCAACTGGAGCACACATTCAGAACATCACAAGAAAAGATAGAAAGTGTGTTATTTGACTCTGCTATTACAGAGTGTGTTTGCCAAAGCACCAAGAGCAATGCAGAGAGTGAATGCCTAAGTAGTCACTGTACTGTCAGTTACCAAGAACTCTGAAGAAACTTGCTCAGAGAAGCCTCAGGGAGTACTAAAGAGGTCACTATGGAATCATCTAAGACCTAAGACACATCAAAACTTTATTAGTCATCAACAAAATAAAGCCCAAACGAGTTTGTCTTGGAAAGATCCATACACCATTATGTTTTAGGTCTGCAGAGCCATAAGACAGTGGCTGACAAATTGTGACTGTTTAATGAATCACTGGATTTTTATAGTCTCTTGCAAATCATAAGTTAGATAGAGAAGAAATCCCTTCTTATTGAAACTGAGCTGTAAGTCCTTTGCACAGATCAGGGTTTTGACTCAAGCAGTTGCTAGATATAGAATGTCCCACTAATCTGAGGGGTATCACTATCTTTACATTGATTAAAGTGAGATTTAAAATGTATACAAAGTTCACTAGCTGAAGAAAAATTATTTCAGTTGTGACTTTTTCTTATATAAGAAATTCTTTGTTTCTTTCATGAAACTCACACTAGTAATGGTAATTATCTTGACGAAGTATGGCACAACATTTTCATATATAACAGTTTCTAATTTATGTTTTAAATTTTTATTTATTTTTATTTTATATGTATCAGTGTTTTGCCTGCATATATGTAAATGTGTCACGTACTTACAATGCCCCTGGATACCAAAAGAGGGTGTCAAATCCCCTGGAACTTGAGTTACAGATGGGTGTTTAGTCACCATGGGTGCTGGGAAATGAACCAGGGTCCTCTGCAAGAGCAGTCAGTGCTCTTAACTACCAAGCCATCTCTTCAACCCTTGATTCATGCCTTTGAACTGGATATTGTCATAGTGTAAACAATCTAGGACAATTTTATTCTTAAGGGCAGATTTTGTTGTGTGTATGTCCACTATCAGGAACAAACATTTTCAGTGTAAAGTGGAAATTCACTTTAAAGAATGAAATAAAATGTAAAAATGATATCAGATTGTCACTCCAACCTTCGTTGCTCAACATCACAAAGATCTCTTTGGCAGACTCATAGTCCTACCTCATAGAATAATGGGTCGCTGCCTCCTGTAGGCTTTTTCCCCCTTTTAGCCGAAGCACCACCAATAGCTGTATGTATTTCATTGATCTGTAAGAAAGGCACATTTGTTTATAAGAAGAAAGGATGTACTTAAGGAATACATAGACACACAGAAACGTTCAGCTGCCTCGGTGATTTAAACCAAGCCATTAAGGAATGAACGTAGCAATAAAGCAGATGTCACCACTTGGATGAGATAGTCACAGCCCATTAGAGAGGCTGTCCCTGTGACCCCAGCTAGATAGGATTTTCTCTAGACTTCATTTTTCAACGAGTTATGTACTTTACTTACTTGGTCGAGCCTTCTGTTATTATTATTTAACCTTATGTTAAATAATTCCACAGAGAACCTAGCATGGTGCCTGAAATAGTGACATAAATCTTTGTCTACTGAATGAATTTTGAATGAGCCATATTAATAAAAAAGTTAGTCCTTCCAGATTAAACGTTTTGAATTTATTCTAAGTGTATGTTTATTTAAAGTAATCCACCCCAAGTATGGATTACTTTACATACCATCCAAGATATGCTCTCTTGACTTATTCTATAGTCTCAACCCACTATGTTAAGGAAGACTATCTCGTGGGGTGTGGAGAAGGCGGGGATGGGTACCTCATTGAGAATCTCTTGCCAGGACACTATGCTGAAAAGTTTACGCTGAGGGACTTGGACTGCCAGCTTGAGGGCATGGATGAGAAGATCGTCTTCAATCTGGTTCCCAACCACAAAAGCGATGGAGGCCTTCCAATCATTCTGTTACAAAACAGACAGAATAATATGCTGTGTTCCTCATTGTGTAACTTTGTCAAAAGCTTTTTGAATGATGCAGCCACAAGGCGGCAGTATTGTGCCAAATTTCATGTAACTTGACTAAACAATTTTCTTGAGAAATTGGGAAGATAATTTCTAAAGATTTTTTCTCACTAGAATGCTATCCAAAAACAATTTGGTGTTGGAAAGCAGTAGTTCATTACTATGCCACAGATGTACATTAAAACGCACTCTCAAAACAGTAATCTTTGTTTTGTTTCTTGGTACTGCCTCTAGGTAGTAACTCTAAATAATGCTAGTATTATAGGAAAAGTCCAAGAAGTAATTGTTAAATGCTGGGTAATACTGAATGAGTCACCAACGGGAACTAGGGTACATCTTCCTAATGTAAAACGAGACTAGGATTGCTAATTCACAGAAGGATTCTTTCTACTTCTAGGAAAAAGGCTAAAATATTATACTTGGATGTAGAACTTTGTATCAAATAATGTAAAGAAAGAGAGAACTAAAGATAATGCACTCAATCAGTAATTCCTTTCTCTACATTTATTGGAATTTCTGTTGGAAAGAAGAAGCTGGCTGGGAGACTGAGTGGAGATCAGTGTGTCACCTCTATGTGGTGCTGAAAGGGGAACTCTTCCTTCTGAACAAAGACAGTCTCATGGGGAGAAGGTCAAGCATCCTGACAAAGACATTAGGGAAGAGAGATGACAGTAAAGGAGGGTGCCCTGGCCACATGACCTCACTGTGCCTCAGTTTCCTCCTTTATCTAATAAACGGATTGGGCAGGGAGGTGTCTAAGCTTCCCTCTAGCTCCTTCTAGAGACCTGATTTAAACAAAGTAAAATTTGCTCTTGGTGGATGCCAAAACAATGTCTAAGGAGACTGGAAAACTTCACACAAATTTTGGGAAATGCATCATTTTGTGTGGTTTCCTCTGGGTTCTGTCCTGTTCATTGTCAGGTTGATGTCAGGCTAGAGTCTAGGTGTGAGAAAAGGCACAGGACCAATTCTTTCTTACTACCAAATAAGGACTGTTTTTCATGTTTCTCCATGGAAACTTACTATGTAACAAGTGTCCAATGCAGTCTTTAAAACAATACCACTTGTAAAAATGTAAACTTACAATGCGTATTATATTTACGTGCACTCAGGTAGGTGTGACTTTCTTTTAAAATCTGTTATTGAGCTTAAAACATTTTTTCGATGTTAATTTGACATAGAAGGATTGAGCATATATATTTTTAATATTCTGGCTCTGAAAAGTAAATTTGATATTTATAACATTGTTTAGGAAAAAAAAATCCATCACCACAAAATGTTCTTTCTTACATTGAATCCCCTTCTTACCTCTTGTTTACTCTCATCAAAGCTGCATCTCTAGTCATCGTTAAAGAAGAAATGTCTCTTAAATTTTCTCAGAAAAAATATGCATTGTTCCAGGACGGGAAATACAGTAAAGTTTCTGGCACTTAACTTTCCAACACCTCCTCTCCCTCTCCTGCCTGTGTGTTTCTTTGCCAATATTTGAAAGCTCATGGTGACAAGAACAGTTTGCCTCTCAGCTCTTCGGAAGACCATTCAAAAAGAGGGCAATGCAGTCCGTCACCTACCTACCCATTAGAATCTGGTGTCAAAGGCAGATGTGGACCATTTCAGACAAGAAAAAAGAAGGGAAGAGGAGGAAGGAACTAAAAATGACTGTGAATCCGCCATGTGCCAGGCACATGTTACCCTACTGATTCCTCAAGTAACCCTGTGAAATAGGTGCACCAGTACATTACAGAGGGAAAACGGGTCTAGTGAAGTTCAACGACTTGTTCAAGATCATTTTGGCAGAAACCTGTGGAGATTACATATGGGGTTTACAAATCTGTGGTCATTTCAGGGCAGTTCTGAGGGCAGATCACTGGCATTAGAATGACACATCACTATGTATCATATATTGCTAATTGATTAAGATTTATATCACTTGTTAAAGTGTATAGAGCCTTCATAAGTACCTCATATTTAATCCTTAAGCCATCATAAATCACTTTAAAATAACATTTTTACAAAGGATAAGAGAATAAAGAAATTTCTCAAGGATTCTTCTCTTGCTTCTTGTTTCTTTGCTCCAGGATATACCTTTAAAGACATTTTTATGTCTGAAGATTTATTTGCTTTTATTTTATGTGTATGAAAGCTTTGCCAGCATGAATGTAAGTACACCACATGCATACAGTGCCTACAGAGGCCAGAAGAGCGCATCACATCGAATCCCCTGGAACCAGTTGCAGATGGTTGTTGGCCACAGTTTAGGTGTTGTGTACCAAACCCAGGTCCTCTGCAAGAGCAGCCAGTGCTATTAACTGCTGAGCCATCTCTCCAGGCCTCCAGGTTATATCTTAACACAATATTGTTCTTCCAATCTGTGGCCTTATAGATTGAAACTTGTGGCATCCTTTAGGTCATGTTGAGACCATGTGCCTGAGCTAGTGCAGGGCCAGACTACATCAGAGCTCTCTGTTTGCCCCAGTGGAGATACAGTCATATCTCTCCCTTTGAAAGGATCTGAAAAGTCCTGCATGAGACTGGAGAGATGACTCAGTGGTTAAGAGCACTTGCTTTTCTTCTAGATGTCCTAATTTGGTTCCCAACATCCACATTGATGGGTGAAGGAGAGGCTCACAATTACCTATAACTCCAACTCCAGAGGATCTGGTGCCCTCTTCTGACCTCCTTGGGTATGTGCATACACACACACACACACACACACACACACACACACACAAATTTAAAAAAAAAAAATCTTTAGAAAAAACAAATTCCCGCATGGGCCCAGTTTCCCATCCACATACGGTCCATGAAAAGCTGCTCCAGAAGTTGGATCTATTCTGTAAAATAGGATCCAGGGAGGATGCTGTTAGAGCTATGCTTAAGTGTCTAATCATATTGCCAGAGCCCATGAAAACATGAAATGGAGTGGCCAGTCTTGGGACAATGGAGAAAGCCTGCAGGGAAGGCTGCACTTGCTGCTGGCTGCAGCAGGGGGCAGCGAGATGCTAGGAAATGCACAGTGCTGTGTGAAGGAAGAGTGAAGTCCTAAACAGAGGGGGCTCTGCAAATAGACGTCTAGATCTTAGTATTCCAGGGTAACTACAGGTTCTAAATTTCTACCAACTGACAACCGATTTAGAAATGAGAAGTCATTTTGGAAGAAAGAGGACACAAAGTAGAGGTGGGAAAATACTGTTAAGCACATTCCTCCACCCATTTCCCACTCCATCATGGAGTTAAACAGAGTCTTTAAATATACGCTTTCAGGAAGGCAAGAGGAATGTGGTATAGTGAAAACAAACATTTTCTGTGGGAGAGAGGGATGACCACAGAAAGTGCAGAAGCCTCCTGAATACACCTGTGAATATCTTAGTGCTCCCACCTGTGGGTGAATTTGTTTGGGACAGTTGAAGAGGTTTAGGGGCATCAACAGGAGCTGAGAGAAAGAAAACTAATCATTTGGGAAAACTTGCTGAGGATGTATTGAGTGCTGAGGAAGGAAGATCTTATTCTGGCATACTGCAAACACCTCTGGCAATGAAGTCAGCTCTTTACTACCCAGAGACAGAGACAGTTATTGCTGAGTCTTGCCCTAGTCATTATTGATAAAGTCATTCAAAGGATGGAATGAAATCATGTATGGACACAATCCATTACCCTCTATTGACTTTACCAGTCTCACCTAATTTGAAGCCTGGCAGGAGGGCGTCTCAACCCAAACATTGACATGGAGTCTCCTAAGGCAGGAGAGCACTCTGGTAGATGCGGAGAACCTGGCTGACTTACAAAGCCTCCTGTCTCACAGATTTAGAACTATTTTTCTTTCATATATTAAATAGTCTCCGAATTTTACTAGACATTCCATATTATGCTATAACAACTATTTCAAAAGCAAGTGAAAAGTAAGTTCTAGACAGTGGGGTTGTTATTGCTGCCTTCTGTTAGTGTTAGCAGGAACAATCAGCTGATTTGGGGAACCACAACAGTGGGACAGGATGGACATGTCATCTTTGCTAGGCTTCCAGGGAAGAGGTCCCTACGGTCTTCCTCCCAGGACTGACCAGAGCACCTTTATTAGCAGATGTATAAAAGTTCCAAGTAAAAATCAATGCGACATTTCAGAAGCCGAGTTTTATTAAGAGCTATTTAACATTGTGCCGATCTGCAAAGCAGTACTTTATGTCAATACTCTGCTGAAAGGATGACCTTTTTGTTAAGTAGATTTACTGCTAAATGGACAGGGATTTGTGAATGTCTTTCTCATACTCGGTTTTCCCTTCAAAAGGAGTCTTGGATCTCCATCAGCAAAAGAGTGTTAGTGTGGGCTTTTGGCCAGGAGAAGAAATGTTTTCATTACATCAAACTGGCTGCTGCAATTGTATTTGTTAAGATTCTGACTGTAGACTAAGTTGAAAGTGTAGGCTCAATAACAGGCCCAGTCTACACAGCAGACAAGAACAGTATAAACGATGAGAACATGCACTCTCTAACCCTTCTTATTAAACAGGTTCTTATTTTAGACTCTTCCTTTGATTATGTAGTCCTCATAATTTATCATAAAAGTTAGCTTGACATATTATCATATGAGAAATTCTTTCTTAGGAACTGGATTATGTTGCTGTCACATTTGCACAAATGGACTGTTAACTCTTGAAATTATGCTTTATATATTTTTACACCTTATGGTGCTTCCCATGAACAGGAAATAGAGTCACGCTCTATACATAAATATCTGTTGATTGCTATTTTAAAGCAACAGAGCACGCTTGGACACTCAGCAGATTTGGACCCTCAGAAACATAAAGCAGGAGAAAATAGCATGTCATGTAAAACCACAGGGTGCACAGTCCACAGCCCTGAAGGTCATTAGGAAGAGGACACTGGAGCTGACCTACTGTGGTGATTCATATCAGGGGTCAGTTACAAGGGTTTGGGGTCTGCTA